GAGTGCAATGGCACGATCTCGGCTCACCGCAACCTCCGCCTCCTGAGTTCAAGCAATTCTCCTGCCTCAGCCTCCTGAGTAGCTGGGATTACAGGCACGCACCAACATGCCCAGCTAATTTTTTGTATTTTTAGTAGAGACGAGGTTTCACCATGTTGACCAGGATGGTCTCGATCTCTCGACCTCGTGATCCACCCGCCTGGGCCTCCCAAAGTGCTGGGATTACAGGCTTGAGCCACCACGCCCGGCTCATAAAGAGGTTTTTAATACCCATTTTTAGACTGCATTCCAGCCTCGGCAATAGAGCAAGACTCCCGTTGTCTCTCCCTCTTTCTCTTTTTCTTTCTCTCTTCCTTTCTTTTCTTTCTTTTTTTCCTTCCTTCCTTCCTTCTTTGTTCTTTCTTTCCTTCTTTCTCTTTCCTTCCTTCCTTCTTTTCTTTCAAAAAAAGAAGAAATAAAAAAAACAAAAAATTGAAATATACAGCTATAGAATTTCTACTCTTTCTGTATGCATTATACACCATCCAAATAAAGCTAGTAAAACTAGTAAAAACTATTCTAGTTGTGCCAAAAGTTATGGCATAACAAATGTGTAAATTCCTGCATTTAAATGTTTATATTAACAATTATATTTAAATGTTTATATTACATTAATTTCCAAAGGATAGATCTATCAAACATCCTTCTTATTAGAGCTAAGGAAAATAGGATGTAGTTATCTCTAGCAAAAAGGCAATCCTGGCACAATGGCCTGTAATCCCAGCACTTTGGGAGGCCGAGGCAAATGGATCACCTGAGGTCAGGAGTTCAAGCCTGGCCAACATGGTGAAACCCCATCTGTACTGAAAATACAGAAAATTAGCGGGTCATGGTGGTGGGCTCCTGTAATCCCAGCTACTTGGGAGGCTGAGGCAGGAGAATTGCTTGAACCTAGGAGGTGGAGGTTGCAGTGAGGCGAGATCATGCCATTGCACTCCAGCCTGGCTGGCAGAGAGAGACTCCATCTCAAAAAAAAAAAAAAAAAAAGAAAGAAAGAAAGAAAAAGAAAAAATAAAAATTCAATGCACAGCAGATTATAATTTCAGCAACTGAAAATTTCTTCAATCTTGTTTCCAATTTTGCACTTTTAAAGATATCCTTATTGTCACATGCTTTTTAAAAAATGACACTTCTTGTATTATTTGTTGCCTATTAATTTGCATGGTTTTCCATCTAACCAAAATCTACTCCACCAAAGCTTACGGTACAGCCTGCTCATGGGGCGGAGAGACCAGCCTGGTGTGCAGCCTGCAGTGTGAGGCCAAAGAGTGACCTACAGAAGTGCCTCATTTGGGACTCCCTGTACTACAGTCAAAACAAGGGAACATTCTATTATGAAGAATGGGACATTCTAGGAACAATAAAAGCTACTGTTTCTAGAGCTCCTGCTGTGTATGGCCAACATTTTACATAATCCTCACAGCAATCCTGCAAGATAAATATCACCATCCCATTTATACCTCAGAGAATTTAAAGAGTTTTCCCATGTCACTTAGCTGGAGTCCAGGTCTCACATGCTGGAAAGCCCGCCATGCAGTGATACCACCAGCCTTCCATTCCTCTAAGGGACACTGAGCAGGTCTTGCTGTATGGTTGGCATTTGTGCTAGGCCTTGTGCCTTGGCCTCAGGAAGCTTAATGTAGGCAAGACACAGAATAAACAAATACCTTCCCAAATGTACATTGTCCAGGAGTGACAAGGTACCATGCAGAAAAACCAAGCAGAGTCAATGGAATGACATGTGAGAATGGCAGCTCTTTAGATTGGGTGGCCAGAGGCCTCTCTGACTTTCTGAGTAGCCACTCTGTGAGCAGAGGCCTGCTGAGTAAGGGCCTGAGATGTGCTGATTTCGAGAGGCAAGAATAAAGCCCTCAGGTAGCATCCTTAGAAATACCCTGACATGGAACTGTCGTGGTGGCATTCAATCAAATTGTTTTCTGTTAATTTACCTTCAATCAGATTATGTTCAACCAATTTACCTGAGGCCTATCAGGTTACGCTCAGGGAACTTATTTTTTTTTTTTTTGAGACAGAATTTCACTCGTTGCCCAGGCTGGGGTGCAATGGAGCGATCTTGGCTTACTGCAACCTCTGCCTCCCGGGTTCAAGTGATTCTCCTGCCTCAGCCTCCAGAGTAGCCAGGATCACAGGCATGCACCATCACTCCCGGCTAATTTTGAATTTATTTAGTAGGGATGAGGTTTCTCCATGTTGATCAGGCTGGTCTCAAACTCCCAATCTCAGGTGATCTGCCTGCCTTGGCCTCCCAAAGTGCTAGGATTACAGGCGTGAGCCACTGCACCTGGCCTGGAACTTCTTTGCTATATACCATGCTCACTTCCCAAAAGGAGCACTTTTTGTGGGTATAGGAAAATGTGTGCAGAGATCAAGCCTTGCCTTCCAATCTAAGCCTGACATTTTGCCAGTGCAGTCATTGTGAGTGAGTATAACCCAGCTTTTCATGGAATCATTGCCCTCTGGAACCTGGACAGGGCTCTGCGTCTTCCTCTTTGCTCTGCAATTAACTCTAGAAATCCCAGCAAGCTGCCTCAGGGGTAAGCTTGATCAGAAAAGCGGCCTTCCATAGAGCAGAAAGTGCATTGCCTTGCACCAGGGCTTCCATCCATTTATAGAAAGCTTCATATGTCTGCATTGCTGGGAGAGGCAGCAAGGCAACTTCGCATCAAATGAACCCACTCACGCCTTCTTGCTCAATGAAGGTGCACACCTTTTTGGGGGAATATAAAGACCAGTAAAACATTTCAATTCTCAAATTTGTGATCTAGTGGAGGAGACAGTACTCCTACAATGATAAATGCCATTAGTGGTGCACAGTCTAAGGAAGTATGAAGGAACAAGAGGTTACTTTTAATTGGATGTTGAATCAGGCACCCTGCAAAATGTCTAGCAAAGAATCCAGGACTTAACATTCAATACATATTAGCTTTTACTCTTATTAGGATTGGCTTCACATAAGAAGCAGAATTTCAGGAAAGGTAGGATTTCCAGATCAAGTACAGGATGTCCAGTAAAGTTTGAATTTCAGGTAAACAAACAAAAAAAAATTAAGTGTGTCTTCAATATCACAAGACATATTAAAATAAATGCGTTGTTTTTCTGAAATTCAAGTTTAACTGGGACATCCTTATTTTTATTTGCTATTTGCACCAACCTAATACATCTGGCAAATCTAAGCTGAAGATTATTTTTACTTTCATTGAAGTATAATCGAAAAGTAAAAATTGTATAATTTAGGTTGCATAGCTTGATGTTTGTTCTTTTTTTTTTTTTTTCCTTTAAAAGGGAACTTCTCTCTGATTGGTGTTTTGATACACATATATATCGTGAAATGATTACCACAATTAATCTAATTAGCACACAAAACACCTCATATAGTTACCTTTTTTGTGTGCTGAGAAGACTTAAGGTCTACCTTTTTAGCAAATTTCAAATATACAGCGTAGTATTATTAACTGTAGTCACAATGCTGCACATTAGAACTCCAGAACTTATTTATATCACATAACCAAAACTTTGTGCCCTTTGAGCAACATGTCCCCCACTTATCCTATGCCTCAGCCCCGGCAACCACCATTCTACTCTCTTCTTCTGTGAGTCTGACTATTTTAGATTTCACATGCAAGAGAGATCATGCAGTATTCTTTCTTTCCCTTTCTTGCTTAACTTTTCTTTTCTTTCTTTCTTTCTTTCTCTCTTTCTTTTTCTTTCTTCTCTCTCTCTCTCTCTCTCTCTCTCTCTCTGTCTCTTTCTGGAGTCTCGCTCTGTGACCCAGGCTGGAGTGCAATGGCGCTATCTCAGCTCACTGCAACCTCTGCCTCCCGGTTCAAGTGATTATCCCAGCTTCAGGCCCCCAAATAGCTGAGATTACAGGTGCCTGCCAACATGCCTGGCTAAGCAGTATTTGTCTTTCTGTATCTGCTCATTTCACTTAGGATAATGTCCTCTAGGTTCATCTATGTTACTGCAAATGACAGAATTTCCTTCTTTTGCAAGGCTGAGTAATTATTCATTGTGTATATGTACACCACATTTTATCTACTCATCTATCAGTCGACACTTAGGTGGTTTTCATATCTCAGCTAGTGTCTATAATGCTGTGATGTACATGGGAGTACAGATATCTCTTCAAGATCCTGATTCGATTTCCTTTGGAAATATACTCAGAAGTGAGATTGCTGGCATGGAAACAGGAAAGAAATAGTATTTTTCATGGCACTTCATGCTTTCCCATAATTCACTTCCTATGTGACAGTCACTGACAGTCACTGTTCCGAGGGACTTACAAGAATTAACTCATTTATTCTTCACAAAAACATTGGGTAGCTTATCAGCATCCTTATTTTATAAATGAGGAAACTGAGGTAGAAAGAGGTAAAATAACTTGTCCAAGAACATAGAGCTGGGAAGTGGTGCTGCTGGGATTACGAACCTAAGATGTTTGGCTCCTGGGGCTGTTGTCATCTTAATATTTTAGAAAGAGAAAAGTAACCTGTCCTAAATATGCTTATAGAAGGCCTTCAGGGCCAGCTTATGACCAAAGTCATATTTTAGCCAGATCACACAACCCTAATTTCTGCAAAAGTGACATATTGTTTGCTAAATCACTACTACAGGGGGCTACAGCTGGCTTACCTAAGCACCTTCTATATCCTTTCAAGTATAGAAATATGGATATACCTTCCTACGCAACTCTTTTCGCTCTCAAAGCCTCTCTGTTCCTGGAATGTGAGATCTTCTCCTGATTGCTGGCTGGAGAATCAAATGCTGCCTTTGCAACAGATTATCGGAAGCAAACAAGCTGAGGGGAATTGAGCAAGAATTTCTGGGACACCAACAGCATAGGAGGAACAAAGCATGCAGACGGAGAGTTGATTTTTGACACAGGACAAAGCCAATGATTAACCAAACTTCCGGCAGGTTTAAATAGGATGGACACCAGGAGTGGAGGCAATCCTTTCTTTCAGCTGGAGTGCTCCTCATGAGCCAGCCCCACCCTTAGGAAATATGGTTTCCATGAGGATCATCTGCCTGGTCCTAAGTGTGGTGGGCACAGCATGGGTATGGTCCCTTTCATTTTCTCTTCTTTCTTTCTCTCTGATTTTATTCCATGAAGAGCTTGGAGGTGTGAGTCTACCTGTTCTGTCCTGACACACTCTTAGCTTTACTTACTCCAGGCCTGAGAGGAAAGTTCCTGGATGGGCTTGGCACCTCAAGAATATAGGGTAATATGGATCCAGGAGGAAGATCTTAGACGAATGAGTGTGTACAAACTAACAAGAGAAACTTTAGCATTTGTCATGCAGTCTTACCACATTTTGTTTTGTTTTGTTTTTAAAAGGGCAAGAATCTTTGCCATCTTTGTAGCTATAAAACCTTGGAGCATTATAATGCTAGTTAATGCAATAAAACATTCTATGGTAAGATTTTTTTTTCTTTAATTATTAAGTTCTTGCTATAATAAGCAGAACTTTTAGTTTTAGTACAGTTTTGCTGATAGGCTGTTTTTGTGTTTGTCAAGACAAAAGAAAAAGCAAATGAATGCTCTTTGGAAACATCTTTGTGATATTAGAAGAGATTAGTAAGGCAATATGATTTTTGGAAGTAATGGTAGTCTTTTGAATTATGAATTCATCTCTAAAGGTTACATAGAAACTTGAAAGAGAAAGGAACGTTAGGTTAAGATGGTGTGGGTTCTTTCTACTGAAGCAGAAAATTACAGGAGAAAGAGCTCTACAGCTTTCAATTTTCTTTCTCTCTGCAGTCATTTGTAAAACTGAAAAGCTAAAATTTAACTGATTTTATGGATTCAAATAATTTTCCTTTTAGAATGGATCTTTTTAAATTCCTAATATTTATCAAATGCTTATTTAGTGTCATACACAGTTAAGAAATTTGTACACCTTACCTCCTTTAATTCTGATAACAACTCGATACAAGGGGTCTTAGGATTTCCATTTGGAGGTAAGAAACCTGAAGCTTGCAGACACCCTGCGGCTGGTGCCTTGACCTCTGTGAGAGTTGCCTTCTCTTCCTTGGGACTTGTAGGCATGCCGGTGTCTCCTCTTCTGGCTAACGTTACTGTTGTTCTCTTTTGTGTATGTGAATGAATGTTTAAAGACTACAGATACTGGTGACGATGACTTTCTAGCTGCAGGAGGAGGCGTGCGTGGCCCAAGGGTTGTGGAAAAACAACAATCTGTCTGCAGAGATTCAGACTGGCCCTTCTGCTCTGATGAAGACTGGGTAAGCAGTGAGCTGGGAAGCAGGAGATTCCTTCCCTCTGATGCTAGAGGGGGGTCACACGCTGACCTGATTGGTCACAGAAACTTTTTTTAATAGAAAATAATTGAATAGCTCCTTACATACCAAAGAAAGAGAAGAAACCTAGTCCCAAGAGCGCTGTTTATTACCTCTCCAACTCTGGATCATTAGCAGGGGAATAGATGGGATTTTAGTTGCATGCTGAGGCAATACTTAGCACTTGAGTATTGTGGCCTCAATTTCCTGGGACCTAATTTATGGCTAAGTGGACCCTCATGCCACAATTTCTCTACTACCTCTAACTAGTCCCCTTACCTACTTTTAAGCCAACTGATCTGGAAGAGGTAGGGTAGGAGTAAATGGGGGCTGCATGGAAACATGCAAAATTATTCTGATCCAAGAGATAGACCCTGACTGTAATTTTCCCTCTTCACCTTCAGAACGACAAATGCCCTTCTGGCTGCAGGATGAAAGGGTTAATTGATGAAGTCAATCAAGATTTTACAAACAGAATAAATAAGCTTAGAAATTCACTATTTGAATATCAGAAGAACAATAAGGATTCTAATTCATTGACCAGAAATATAATGGAAATTTTGAGAGGCGATTTTGCTGCAGCCAATAGTAAGTATTACACATTTACTGCTTTGGCTTTATAACAGAAACAACAAAAACCCTAAATGAATATGATGTCTGCTCATCACTATGACAATTTCATCCCAAACTACTTAGTACAGAAACTCATGCCTTCAAAATATCCCTGAAAAGTTTAAGGGGGAGCTTTTGTTTTTGTTCTTTTTTCAAAGTAAAAGACGTTAACTGAGACTGTTTAAGGTGACAAAATAAGTCAGAATTTTGGATTAAAAACAAGAATTTAAGTGTATTCTTTTCAACGGTATATACTGAAAGTACAATGGGCCAGACTCTTGGAGTTTTGTTTCTGCCTTGCAGAGGAGAATACTGAGAGGTCAAAGAACTCGCTCAAAGACAGAGAACTGGGAGTTCAACCCCCAGACTTTGCTGAACTGATTAGGTAGATTTTTCAGTTTAAAATACAGAGTCAGGCTATATTGTTCTCATAGTCTACTCATTAGGGTTAGGAAACATTGCATTCCTTCTGGGCATAGGCAGCGAGTCTGGAGAGGCCTCAGTTTCTGAAGTTTTGCTTTGCTTCTTCACACCTTCATAAACACTTAACATTTAAAATCAGTGATGAAACACTAGCTGGCAAGTGAGTGATCCTGTTGATCCAAAAAAGCTTAGGAACAATGTCAAATCTATAGATAAAAAGAAAAACTCATCAGTAATGTTCTGGAAAATCTTACCCGACAAGAAACCCAAGCTGCTCTCAGGGAATCGGAGGAACACACTTTCTTATGCCGGCGGGCCCAGAAGGGCTCACACCCAAGTCTGGACCCCGGCTAAGAAAAGCACACTGTTTTTATAGGTAAAGGGGCAGGGACTTTAGACAATGCAGCAGGTTTTAGACAACGAGGCAGTTTCTCTTCAGGTTTTCCAGTTAGTAAGCAAAGAGCTGAGGCACAGAAGCAGAAAGAGGCAGTTACTAACAAAAATAGGGTCAGTTTCAAAAATAGGAATGGTTACTGACAACTTGCTGACAAAATCCTGGACAAAATGTCCACTTTAGTCAGAAAATCCAATATGTTCAAGTCCTTTGATTAAGGATATTATAAAGTAATTGAAATGCAATCAAACCACCGATTATTTTATCTTCAAATCACACCTTTAAAATTTAAAATAAATTTCTTCTTTTATATTTATTTGGGATTATGAGTTGCTATTAGGACATCTTAACCAGCATTCATGGATGACTACAGGGCATAGCATTATTCAAAAGTCAAATGCCTCATAGGTTTTGAACTCACAGATTAAACTATAACCACAATAAAATTGGGAATATTTACAAGCAAGTTTTCTTCCTTCTTTCTTCCTTCCCGCCCTCCCTTCCACCTTTCTGTCTTTCTCCTTCTTTTCTTTCTTTTTTCTTTCTTTCTTTCCTTCCTTTCTTTCTTTTTTCTTTTTTTCTTTCTCTTTCATTCTCTTTCTTTCTCTCTTTTATCTTTCTCTATCTTTGTGTGTGTGTCTCTTTCTCCCCGCTTCCCTCCCTCTCTTGCTTGCTTGCAGGCATTTACAGGCAAACAACTCAGCAGCTACTTCAATAACTGCATTTTCTATTTCAGACCGTGATAATACCTATAACCGAGTGTCAGAAGATCTGAGAAGCAGAATTGAAGTCCTGAAGCGCAAAGTCATAGAAAAAGTACAGCAGATCCAACTTCTGCAGAAAAATGTTAGGGATCAGCTGATTGATATGAAACGACTGGAGGTAAGTATGTGGCTCTACCCCCAAATTTCCTTGTTTTTGAATAGCAGGGAAAAGGAAGGCAGTAGTTATACACTGAGTGTCTACTATATGCAGAGAAAAGTGTTATATCCACTATCTACCTAAGAGTAGGTATTATCTTCCCCACTCTAGAGTTGAAGAAAAAAATTCAGACATTACGTACATTTTCCAAGAGTACATAGTTAGTAAATTTCAAAACCAAATGTACAGTCCTTGTATAATTCCAAAGCCCATTACATCACCATTCCTCTGAGCCTTCAGCCTGAGTTTCACCAAGGATCCCTTAATTAGTGTTTCCTTTGGGAGGGAAGAGCACCTTATTCTTGATCCATTCTGAGGCTAAGATGAATCAAATAGCATCCATTGCTTATCCTGGCTAGCCTTGCAATACCCAACATCTCTTCCACTGAGGATGGTAGAATACCAGAAAGCAGAGAATATTAAGTGGTAGGTCTCCAAGTCAAAGAAATGAAACCAGTTTCCAGAAGGAAAATTAACTACCAGGAACTCAATAGACATAGTTCATGCATTTGTATCTACCCTTTCTCTTTAGTTTTCTCTCCTCTTTCTAGGTGGACATTGACATTAAGATCCGATCTTGCAGAGGATCCTGCAGTAGGGCTTTAGCTCGTGAAATAGATCTGAAGGACTACGAAGATCAGCAGAAGCAACTTCAACAGGTCACTGCCAAAGACTTACTTCCCTCTAGAGATAGGCAACACTTACCACTGATAAAAATGAACACAGTTCCAGACTTGGTTCCCGGAATTTACAAGAGCCAGCTTGAAAACGTGCCCCCAGAGTGGAGGGCATTAACAGAAATGCAGCAGATGAGAATGGAGTTAGAGAGACCTGGTGGAAATGAGATTGCAGGAGGACACTCCACCTCTTATGGAACAGGATCAGAGACGGAAAGCCCCAGAAACCCTAGCGGTGCTGGAAGCCGGAACCCGGGGAGCACTGGACCTGGAAGTACTGGAAACCGAAACCCTGGGAGCTCTGGATCCGGTAGTACCGGAACCTGGACTCCTGGGAGCTCTGGATCCGGTAGTACCGGAACCTGGACACATGGGAGCTCTGGATCCGGTAGTACCGGAACCTGGACACATGGGAGCTCTGGATCCGGTAGTACCGGAACCTGGACTCCAGGGAGCTCTGGATCCGGTAGTACCGGAACCTGGACTCCTGGGAGCTCTGGATCCGGAAGTACCGGAACCTGGACTCCTGGGAGCTCTGGATTGGGAAGTACTGGCAATGAAAACCCTGAGAGCTCTAGACCTGGTAGCACAGGAACCTGGAGTTCTGGCAGCTCTGGAAGTGTAAGTGCTGGGACTTGGTCCTCTGGGAGCTCTACAGCTGGTAGTACTGGACATTGGAACTCTGGATCTGGAAGTCTTAGGCCAGATAGCTCAGGCTATGGGAATACCAGGCCTACCAACCCAGACTGGGGCACATTTGAAGAGGTGCCAGGAAATGTAAGTCCAGGGACAAAGAAAGAGTACCACACAGGTAAACTGGTCACTTCTAAGGGAGAAAAAGAGCTCATGATTGGTAATAAGAAGGTCACCTCTGGTAGCACAACCACCACACGTCAGTCATGCTCTAAAACTGTTACTAAGACTGTTATTGGTCCTGATGGTCGCAAAGAAGTTACCAAAGAAGTGGTGACCTCTGAAGATGGTTCTGACTGTCCCGAGGCAATGGATTTAGGCACGTTGTCTGGCATGGGTACTCTGGATGAGTTCCGTCGTAGGCACCCTGATGAAGCTTCCTTCTTTGACACTGCCTCAACTGGAAAAAGATTAGAAAGTTTATTCTCATCTAGGTTCAGAGAGTATGATGGTGAGACTGAGTTTACTGACTCAGAATCTGGCATCTTTACAGATACAGATTCTCATCACACTGGGGTACATGAATTCCCTTCCAGTGGTAAAACTTCAAGTCACAGCAAACAGTTTGTCAGTAGCACAACATACAGCAAAGGAGGCTCCACAATTCAATCCAAGAGCCGTGCGATGGCAGATTAGGTCTGAAGTGAAGCTGATTATGAAGGAACACATACCACCAAGAGAAGCCATGCTAAATCTTGCCCTACAAAAGGTATCCACACTTCTCCTTTGGGGAAGCCTTACCCTGTCCCCCTAGACCAGGTATCCCCAAACTTTTTACACAGGGGGCCAGTTCACTGTCCCTCAGACCGTTGGAGGGCCACCACTTACTGTGCTCCTCTCACCGACCACCAATGAAAAGAGGTGCCCCTTCCTGAAGTGCGGCGGGGGGCCGGATAAATGGCCTCAGGGGGCCGTAGTTTGGGGACGCCTGCCCCAGACTATGTTAAATATTTCTGCACAGTGTTCCCATGGCACCTTGCATTTCCTTCTCAACTCTCTGTTACACTTTATTGAAACTACACTTTTTTGGTCTTTTTTTGTGCTAGACTGTATAAGTTCCATGGGGGCAGGACCTTTGTCTGTCTCATCTCTGTATTCCCAAATGCCTAACAGTACAGAGAGTCATGACTCAATAAATACATGTTAAATGAATGAATGAATTCTCTGAAACTGTATTTGAGCTTATTTAATCAAATTCTTTCACCATTCAAAGTGTCTGCTGCTAGAATTGTCACCCAATTGATTAATTAGGTTTTTAGTATGTCTCAGTTGACATTTAGGTCAGGCTAAAACAAGTTGTGTCAGTATTAATTGATGCTTACCTACCTGTACTGGTTATTTGCTATTACTATGTGCAAGTAATTCCAAACCCATTTGAGGAAAATCCCCTTTGCAATTTGTAGGTATAAATAACCCCTCATTTACGTAAGTTCCATCTCACTGTAAGTCCATTCTTTCCCCGTGGAGGGAAGGAAAGAAGGAAGAAAGAAAGGAAGGGAAGGAAACAGTATTTACCTTCTTTAATCTGAGCTGTGCCTATCTTTGTAAGGTTAAATGAGAATAACTTCTTCCAACCAGCTTAATTTTTTTAAGACTGTGATGATGTCCTCTAAACATATCCTTCAGGTGCCCAATGTGACATTTTCAATAGCAAGCTACCAGGATCCAGTAAGATTTTTTTCTGTTTATTGCAATCAAGAAACCAGTTTGGGAGGATAGCTTTTGATCCAGCAAAGAATGGATGGATCACTGAATTTTAACTGGACCTGGCAAGACTACAAGACAGGTTTCGGCATCCTGAATGACAAGCGGGAAGGAGAATTCTGGCTAGGCAATGACTGCCTCCACTTACTAACCCAGAGGGGCTCTGTTCTTAGGGTTGAATTAGAGGACTGAGTTGATAAAGAGGCTTATGCAGAATATCACTTCCGGGTAGGCTCTGAGGCCAAAGGCTGTGCCCTGCAGGTCTCCTCCTATGAAAGCACTGGGGGTGATGCACTGATTGAGGGTTCTGTAGAGGAAGGGACAGAGTACACCGCTCACAACGACATGCAGTTCAGCACCTTTGACAGGGATGCAGACCAGTGGGAAGAGAACTGTGCAGAAGTCTATAGGGGAGGCTGGTGGTATCAACTGCCAAGCAACCAATCTCAATGGTGTCTACTACCACCGTGGGGGCTTCTATGACCTAAAGAATAACAGTCCTTATGAGATTGAGAACAGAGTGGTCTGGGTTTTCTTTAGAAGAGCAGATTATTCCCTCGGGGCTGTTTGCATGAAAATTAGTCCCCTTGTGACCCAATAGGCTGAAGGAGTGGGAGTGGGAGCACTGTCTTCTTTGCTACAGAAGTGGAGAGAAAATAAGAAAGGTAAAGCAGTTGAGATTCTCCACAGTGTAAAAAACTCCTAGGTACTATTTTCTCATCCTTTGTAGTGTAGGCAAATGTACCTGAGACATATTAGTGCTCTGAAAAATAAAGTTATAAAAGTTTTTCTTTATCTTTAAATAGCTGTGTGGGTTTTAAAATTTTTATAAGGATATACCAAGGGACATTCAGTACATCAGGAAGGTGTCAGACAGAAGCTTCTCTCTGCAACCTTGAAGAGTATTGGTTTGAGAACTTCTCTTCCCATAGCACCCAAAGTCATAAGGCCATTGCAAAGTTATTTTATCCATTTGACTTGAATGGTTTTAAACCAACATTTTAAGGTAAAACTCACTGAATCTAACCATAGCTGACCTCTGTAGTAGAATTTCTGACTTATAATTACAATGCACAATTTGTAATTACAATATGTATTCATGTCTTTTGTTATGGAGGAAACTGAGGAAGGCAGAAGAAACATTGTTTCCTAAATAGAAATGAAAATATGTCCTTAAAATTCTTCCACTAGACATTGTAATGCACCATGCATTACACACTTATTTTTTCCCCACGGTGTAACCAATTTCTTTGAAAAACACACCTAAAATTTTAAAAATATTTATGAATATTCAAAAAACACACAATTCACACATTACTAAACAATCTCCCAAGTGTTGATTTTTGCTTCATTTTCTAACAACCATAAACTGTATTCTGTGACATGTTAATCATTATTCAATGTAAGTCGATAGTTTGAAAGCATCTCACTAAGTATGATCTCTGCTATAATCAAAATTCAACATATTTACATTGGTCAATATTTGATCCAAGTTGCATCTTTAATCCTGGTGGCCTTGACCCCTGATTTTTAATTTGTATCATTTTCTATTAAGAAATATTTGCCATTTTCTCTTGAACATGTGTTAAAATATCCTCAGTAATCTAGTATAACACCCTTTCTTGCATAGTTTCTATTCTGACATAACTACATTATTTCTCAAGGAAGGAGAGAGGGAAAGAAGGAGAGGAGAAGGGAGGAAGGAGGAAAACAGAGGCTACGGCTAGGGGCCAGAGCCTGGGGATCAAAAAGAAAATATGCATCACACATGATCCCCAGAGTTCTTGCACTTCCTTATGGGGAATTGTAAATCTCTGATACAAACTAAATGCTATACCTTCAAATAGTTACATACTTGGAAAAGAACTTCTTCAGAATTAAATGAAGCTTTGTTTCTTTCAGCTATCAGAACTTTATGCTATCTTTCCGCATTCCACTTACACTCACACATATGCCTCAACAGAACTTGAGTTGAGACTAGAAAATATTTTGTTTTCTAGAATAGAACACTATGTAGGAACAGAACTGGGTCCTGAAATGAAAGTGATTGTGAATGGGAAGGGCCAGTCACTTCTAATTATTTAGAAGATTTTGAGTTTATCGAAGGATTAGATAAACCTCTTTTAATTTAAGAAGTGGTAGCCAATATTAGCAGGATCATGAGAATTGGAGATACAGTTTGGTTGTGAGAAAATACATGAAATATTTATTTTCCATTTCACCTTATCTTTAGCCTTCTATTTCATTTTTCCTGAAATTAAATATTAATTTAGCTCCCTGACTCTCATTCACTCAAAAGCCCATTTCAACTTGGTTTTCATGCAATTACCATGCTCTTGAAATTGATCTCCTTAAGTCAATACAATTTTGCAATTCTAAATTAAATGTGCTGCATTCAAGCCTCTTTCTACTTGATCCCTTTTAAACATCTGCTACTTACTTTGCCCTTATCCTGCCTCTTGGACGTGTCCTTTTGTCTTGGTTTCTGTGCCAGTTCTTCCTGTCTCACCCTTTTCAGTGTTAACTGGTAATTTCTTCTCAGACCACTTCTTAAATGTAGGGGTTTCTCATTGCAATTATATTGGTACTCATCTTTATCATTTGGGATTAGGTTTGGCACATCTGGCTTCAACAAGACTGAAATTCATTTCTCGCTCACAGAAAAGTCTACGGGCATATGTCAGTGCAGTCTTCAGGAAGCCATCATGTTAATAAAAGACTTATATCCTCTGGTTCACCTTGTAATCCAAATACCATGTCCTGTGGCAATTTGGAAGAAAGAGGAAAGACAGAAGGGCAAAGGAGTACTTTCTTCTTTTACAGAACTTCTTGAGTGTTCTAAACAGCACTTCTGCTTATATTGGCCACAACTTAGTCACATAGATAAGCTTAGTTGCAGGAAAGGGTGAGGCAAGTTGACTTTTAGCTTAGATACAGGACTATCCTAACTAAAATTGGGATTCCGCTAATAAAGAAAAGAGGGAGAATAGACACGGGAGGCCGCAATTACCAGTCTTTACCAAACAACATTTTCTCATACTGCAGTGCGTACCCTTTCTCCTTGGTTGGTCTGACAGTCACTGTAGCTTCAACTACTACCAGTGGCCTTAAGCTGGAGACAGACATTAAGGGATGTTGCGGAGGGATAACATGAGGAGAAATGCCAGATATAGGTGATGGGGAGATGGAGGCAGCAAACCACATTGCTCTGAATGTACCTATGCAACAATCCTGCACGATCTGCACAACATGTACCCCAGAACCTAAAGCACTATATATATATCTATACACACACATATATATATATATACACACACACACACACACATATATATATATACACACACACAATATATATATGGTACTTTAGGTTCTGGGGTACATGTGCAGATCGTGCAGGATTGTTGCATAGGTACATTCAGGGCAATGTGGTTTGTATATACATATATATACATATATATGTATATATATGTGTGTGTATGTGTGTGTGTATATATATATATATATATGTTGCTAAAACTTCTTAGCTTGGAATACAAACCCTTTCACAAATTGGTCCATTTTCAACCTCTGCAGTCATTCATTCTACACATTAATCACACTGAATTTCTCACTGGCACTGAAATACCAAGTTCTTTAATGATATTATATGCCTTTTTATAAACTACCTAGAGGACACTCATTCACTCCTTTAAAAACAGCTCAAATAATGATGCTTCTGTGAACACTTCCCCAGTGCCCACCATAAAATGAATTGAATTGTCCTCTAGGCCCTCACAGTTTTTGCTCTCATCTCAAAATAGCATATTCTATCCCTAACTCTAACATATTTATATTATTTGTGGCTCTAGGTTATCAACTCCTTTGGGGCAGAGCTCATTTATACAGTGTATCCTGTCCTGCATAAAATATCTCCCCATTCTAAGATTATACAGTCTTTTAAATACTTCCTTAAATTTTTAATGGAGTTTTCTTTTTTCAGTTTTTTCTTTTGCATGTATGTATTAAATCTAGAATTTATTTTAATATGTCATGAAGAAAGTCTACTTTTGTCTTATTGTGGATGGACAGCCAGCTATACTGGGATCCTTTACTAAAGAAAGC